TTGTGGCGTAATTCAAATTTTAATATGTTAGGATTTGCAATGATCGACGGGTGGTCGGATATTTTTTGGAGGGGAGTACATAAGTGATGGATGTAATAAAAAAAAACAACTTATTTTTTTTTTTTGTTTTGAAACAGTTTATCAATATTTATACGATTTTCTTATTATTTATTTTATTTTTTCAGAATATATAAAATGATGATAATATATAATAGTTTGTCCTGAAAAAAAAAAAATTTTTTTTTAAAAAAAACCTACCGGGCCTGATCAGGTGATCTGTAAGTTTATCTTTTTATAGGATTTACAGGATTCTATGAACGAAAATATCATGTGCAACCGAAGGGGATAAATAAGACAGGGATGAAATAGAATTCATAATCAATTTATTAATAAAATTTAATTTACAATAATTAATTAATTCACATTTATTTATTTGTGACGATTTGATAATAAAAAATAAGTTGTTAGTTTGAAATTCATCATTAATAATGAACATTGTTATTTTCATTTGGTAAATTTATAAATTACTTGAAATTCATATAACAAAACAATGATAATAAAATTAGACAATGATGTTTATATATAATGTCTTTTTATCCTTTATTTAATGCTAATTTTATCCAGATAAATAAATTAGCTTTCGTCCTCCAGTTTTTTTTGTTGTATCTGATTTTTGAAATCAAATAATTCCGGATATAAAAATAAATTCAGTTTTATTCTCTAACACGTTTTCTTTTTATACTATGCTTCTAAAAGAATTCATTCTCGGCTTGGTTTTAAATTACACAAAGTATTTTAATTTTTAATTTGCATAACTGTACGCCACGCCATTGTACATACACAAACATTTATGCGGCAGATCTGTGTAACTCCAAAAATGATTTTAAATTCCCTTGAAAACTAATATTTGAAACGTTTTTTATAGGAAAAAAAAAAAAAAAATTACTACTATAACATAAAATTATTGATTTAGCGATCTTGTCGATTAAATAATTTTTTTCTTTTTATTAAAATAAAAAAAAATGTCGAAAATATCAAATAAAGACGGACTTAAGAAATCAAAAATTTACATTGATTGGTTACAAAATTCTATAGCCGATGAAAGTATCAACTATTATGAATATTTAGACTTCAAAAATTTACAACCAATAGGAAGTGGCGCATTTGGTAAAGTCTTTTGTGCTAATTGGAAAGATACAGATGCTATTATTGCTTTAAAGTCATTTGATAATAATAAGTTAACTCTTAAAGAGGTCGTCAATGAGGTTTGTATAAATTCATAATCATTTTAAACTTACAAATAATAAATCAAGTTGAAATCAATTTACATATTTTATACAGATTAAATTACAGAAAAAAGTTGATTTTCATCCAAATATTTTACGGTTTTATGGAATCACGGATATGGATTTTGGTAAGAATTAAACTAATATCTATTGATCATTTTAATTAAATACTTTAATAAATTATATTATTTCGAATTGACTCAATTTAGACACAATTCATCAGATGAACAAATACATGCTAGTTTTGGAATTTGCTGATAGTGGTACATTAAATGCTTATTTAAGTGAGCATTTTAATGAACTTGATTGGAATGACAAATGTCAGCTAGCATTGCAATTAGCAAGTGCTTTAGAATGTATACATAATTGTGGTATTATACATCGCGATCTGGTATTAATTTATTTTTTTTTAATTCAAGCATAGTATTTCTTATAGTTAATTAATTCTTTTTAAAATTACAGCATGCTAGTAATATACTTGTGCATCAAAAAATTATAAAACTGGCGGATTTTGGTTTATCAAGAAAAATTACTGAAGCCTCCTCAACTACAAAATTACACGGTGTAATACCTTATGTAGACGCTAAAAGCTTAGATAATCATAATAAGAATTACAAATTAACAAAAAAATCTGACATCTATAGTGTTGGAGTTTTGATGTGGCAAATTTCAAGTGGATGCCGACCATTTAATTATGTAGATTATGATATAAGGTTGACCTTGGATATAATAAATGGAAAAAGAGAGAAAATAATCGATGGTACTCCACTTGAATATAGTTTTATATATCAAAGTAAATATATTATGGTTTTTAATTAATTGGCTTTCTTTTTTATTTATTAACTGATTATAATTAATAAATTACTTTTTATATCAATAGAATGTTGGAAATTTGAACCAAGTGATCGTCCAAATATACAAGAGATTGTTTCAACTCTTAAATCAATGACTTCTCTTAAACAAGAAACTGGTGATGATTTTATTTCTACTTATAAAGAAATAGACAATTCACCAATAAATAAGGAATCCACAAGCGGGATGGTTGACGATTATGATTTAGACAATATACCAAATGTTGATCATTTTAAAAATATTGGATCCGAAAGCAATTCAGATTTACAACAATCGAATACGATATTTTACAAAAAAGTCTTACCAAATGTATCAATTGATTCATTCGAACCAATGATTAGTAATATAAACAATCAGATTGTTGATAATCTTATTACAATAATCATTAAGAAACATGATAAAGGAAATACATTTAATCAAATCGAATATCATATTAAGCAACTAATATTACAGTTTAATCAAAATATTAATGATCCTTTAAATTGGCTTATCAATAATCAAAATAGATCACAATATATATGGTTTTTAGGATTATTTTATTATTATAGTCTCGATGTAGATGAGGATAGTGGTAGGGCATTTGAATTATTTTTAAAGGCAGCAAATGAAGGTGGTTGTTCAATTGCGCAAATTTATCTTGCGAGATGTTATTATGATGGATATGGAATTGAAAGTAATGAAGGATTAGCATTTAAATGGTATCAGAAAGCTGTAGAAAATGGAAGTCTTATTGGTCAATTTTATCTAGGACATTGTTATGAATTTGGTATCGGAATTAAAAAAGATGCAAAGGAAACAGTTTATTGGTACCAAAAAGCAGCTAATAATGGAAATATAATTGCCAAGCTTCATTTGGCAGATTGTTATAGATTAGGAAAAATAATTAATAAAGATGAAAACAGGGCATTTATGTATTATGAAAGCTTAGCCAAACAAGAGGTTTCTGACGCTCAACGTCAACTTGGCAATTGTTTCTATAACGGTATTGGAACAAGAGTAGATACAGTACAAGCTTCTTGTTGGTATGAAAAAGCAGCAAATAATGGAGATATAATTGCAAAATATATTCTTGAACAAGAATATAATAAAAAATTAGTTCTTAAAGGATTTAATAATAAACTTTATAAAATAATATATTTCGAAGGATTAAGACAAATTGGAATTAATAATTACAATGGAATTGGAGTAATCCAAAACTATAAAAAAGCATTTTATTATTTTCAAAAAGCCGCAAATAGCGGAAATAAAGTTGCACAATATAATTTGGGTAATTGTTTTAAAGATGGCAAAGGCGTTGAAAAACATCAAAGAAAAGCTTTTGAATTAATTAAAAAATCTGCAGAACAGGGGTATATAAATGCAATTTTTAAACTAGGTTCTTGCTATAAAAACGGAATTGGAACTGATATAAGCAAAGTAAAAGCATATGAATTATATAAAATAGCAGCTAATAAAGGATATAATATAGCTCAAAATTGTCTTGCAAGATTATATATGGATGGTGAAGGTGTAGCAAAGGATTTAGAGAAAGCCATTTATTGGTATAATAAAGCAGCAGAAGATGGATATGAAATTGCACAATATAATCTCGGTAATTGCTATCAATTCGGAATAGGTGTTGATAAAGATGAAATCAAATCTTTTGAAAATTACAAGAAGTCTGCAGAAAAAGAATTTGTAAATGCACAATTTCAACTTGCTTACTGTTATCATAAGGGTTTTGGAACTAGAATAAACAATTTAAAAGCATTTGATTTATATCGTAAATCTGCAGGAAAAGGACATAGTGAAGCACAAAATTTTCTTGAAGTATTCTATGAAAAGGGTGAGTATATAGAAAAGAATTTAGAAAGAGCTTTTTATTGGTATAATAAGTCAACAGAAAACAAATGTGATGTAGGGCAATATAACCTTGGTCGGTGTTATTATTTTGGAAATTATGTTCAAAAAGATGAAACTAAAGCCTTTGAATTATTTAAGAAATCAGCTGAACAAGATTATTTAAATGCACAATTTCGACTTGGATATTGTTATGATAATGGAATTGGAACTGATATTAACAAAGTAAAAGCATTTGAATTTTACAAAATAGCTGCTGAGAAAGAACACAGTAAGGCTCAAAATTTTCTTGGATATTTATATAAGGATGGTGATGGTATAGAAAAAGATTTAGAAAAGGCTATTTATTGGTACAAAAATGCGGCAAAAAATGGTAATTATCTTGCACAATACAATCTTGGTATTTGTTATCAATTAGGAGATGGAGTTGATCAAGATGAATCTAAAGCTTTTGAATATTATAAAATGTCTGCTGAAAAGGGATATTTTGATACACAATTTCAACTTGGTAATTGTTATTATGAAGGAATAGGAATTAATATTGATAAAATTAAAGCATTTGAGTTATATAAAAAAGCAGCTAATAATGGACATACTATAGCTCAAAGTAATCTTGGTTATTTTTATGAGAATGGTGAAGGTATAGAAAAAGATTTCAAAAAGGCTATTTATTGGTATAGTAAATCTGTTGAGAATATTAATTAATAATTTTTTATTTATAATTAAATTATTAATTTTTGTAAAAAATTCTTATATAATTTACTGTTAAAAAATATAATTAAAAAATTTAGGAATGAGGAAGTTAATAAATATTTAGATTGCAATTGAAATAAGTAGTTAAAGTCTTGAATATTAAAATAAATTTAGTTTTGATAAAACCTGTTGATATCATATGAAATCAATCTTACTGCATTACAAAGATTGATAAATGATCAATATTATTAATACCATTAGCATTTTTAATTTAATTAACATTTTTATTTTACTTATTTTATTCTTATATTTTATTATTATTATCTATTATATTATTATCAATGTTAAATTATAATTCATTTTTTATATTTATCTTAGTATTATAAAATAGTTTAGCATTAGATAGTAATTCTTATAATTGTATTTTGTATAAATATGATAGAAATTTGTCCTTACAAAATGGCAGAGATAACAGTGTAAACTCAATAATTTGAGTTTAAGATTTAGAATCTAAGATTAAGGATTGCTAAGGATACAAATTTCTATAATAAAGAAATCTCTTTCTAAATAACACATATTCAAAAATCCTTCAATGTATCAATTGTGTTTATTGTGTTTACAAATTATTAAAGTTATTCTTACTCATCTAAAGTATAAACCTAAGGTTGATTGTGATAGGACTTATTTCACAGTAACTTAGTAGTTTCTCACACGTTACTTTCTATTATTAAGTCATAGTTATCCTAAGTTTGATGGGCTAAGCGTAGGGTTAATACTGTATATACAATTTTTAATAAAATTTGAATACAGTCAATTCTCTTTAAATGTATCCCTTTAGAATTATAGTGAAAATTTTATATGATTTATATATATTTAATATTGAATAAAAATATATATTTAAAGAAAAGTATATAGCATATAGATTTAAAAAGTATGCATTTTAAAAAAAATAATTATTATTATCTTAATATTCAATTTAATTAAAATATTTGATAAGATTATCTTTGATGATTTGTAATTATAATTATAATTAAATTTATCAATAAAAACTAGATTTATGATTATAGCTAATTAGAGATTAGCCTTAATATTTGTAAATAATACATGTATTTTATTTTAATTTTTATAAATATTATTATTAAATATAAAAAATTGTAAAAAATAAAAAAAATAAATAATTTTATTTAAGTTTTAATTTAAAATAAAATTTTAATTTAATTTAATTAATTATTTTATTCTTCTACTATGAATTTATTTTTTAATTTTAGCTTAATCTTATATTTTATATTTATTTTTATTTTTTTTTAAAAAATTTTGTTTTTAAATTTATTTATTTTTCTTTTATGTTTTTTTATATTTTCCATTTCTGCTCTGATTTTTTTATTTTTATATTTATCTTTAAAATTTGAATTTGAGTCAAAATAATTAGTTTAAATTAAAGTTGAATCAAGAAATTTTTAACTCAAAGAGTATATGAATTTGAAATTAGCATCAGAAATTTAAGTCTTACTTAATTTAAAATTATACTATAAGCTGAAAGTATAATGTAAGCTAATATTTTATAATATTTTTGGGACTGAATTAAAAGAAATTTTTTTAAAAAATTTTTATTCAATAAATATTAATTATATTTATACTAATAAATGCAATTTAAAAAAAATAATACAATATTATTTATAAAATATAGTATAAATTTAAAGTTGATTTAAATAAGTTTAAATTGATAAACTTAAATTCTGACTTAATCAAAAAAATTTTGATTTAAATCAGAATTTAATTTAAATTAAATAAATATAAGTCTAGTTTTATTCTCTTTAATATTTTTTTTATATATATATATTTTTATTTTTTTAATATCTTCTTTTTTTATTTCATTTTATTATTTTTTAATTTTAATAATTTTTTTATTTTTTTATTTTTAATTTTTAATTTTTTTTATTTAATTTTTTTATTTTTTATTTTTTATTTTATTTTATTTTTTTTTATTTTAGGTTCAATAAATTCCTTCTTTTAAGTAAAAATGGATGAAACTTTAAATAGAATCGTTCAAATTATCACTATAGTAAAGGTAAGCTAATTATATAATTATTAAATAATTTTTTTTTTATTTTAAGTTTGATTAGATTCTTCTCTTAAACCAAGAATTAAATGAAACTTTTAACAAAATCATCTAATTTATTATTATAATAAAGATAAATTAATTAATAAATAATTTTTTTTTTAGGTTAGATCAGTTTCTTTTAGATCAAGAAACATACAGAACTTTTAAATAAAATTATTTAATTCATAATTATAATAAAGGTAAGCTAACTAATTTTTCAATTTATTGTTTATTTCTTTTTCTTATTTAGGTAATTAAGTTTAATTACTAATTTATTAATTTTAACTATTTATTTGATTAATAGTTTTATATTTTTCAAAATGTTAAGTTAGATCTGACTGAAATTTAATTAATAGTAAAATACAAGTAACTAAAATTATTTTTTAATGCTAATATTTTTATTTTTATTATAATTCTCATTATTATTTAATTAATTTTATTTTTAGGCCAAAATAATTTATTTCTTTAGCTATAATTATCAAATAAAATAGGATTTTTATTAGAGTAGTATAGGTTTTTGACAAATTCTTTAATTTATTAGAATTTATCAATACTTTAAATATTAGTAATCATTATCATTATAATTATTAATTATTATTTTTATTTATTTTCTTTTTATATAATTACATTATAAAAATTTTAAAAAAACCTTTTCATAATACTTTTGTCTTAATTTTTTTTTAAAATTATGTATAAACAACTGCTATTTTT